TGCTATAGTGACGAATCATCACACCATGCTTTTCAGCAAGGTCTTTCTTGAGCTCCAGGGCTGATCTATTCAACACTTTGCACAGAATGAAGTTGGAGTGAGAAGGATATGGTTCTAGAAACGAGATTACTTTCAATTCCTTAAAAAGTCTCTCCCGTTCTTGGACCAATGCATTTCTGACTGTAGTCATGTACTCCAAATTGGATAAGGCCGCCACTGCAGCCACCTCTGCTGCCACTGATACATTATAAGGTTGCTTGGCTCTCCATAAATACTCAATCATATCCGATGGGAAGGCTCCATATCCTACTCTGAGCCCAGCAAGGGCAGCGCATTTGCTGAATGTACGCAACACCACAAGATTGCTATGCGTTTGCACCCAATTCATTCTCGACGGATCCTCCGAGAATTCGATATATGCCTCGTCCAGGACGACAAGGACAGGTAGCTGGAGAATATCCAGCAATTCTTCCTCTGTGATGAGACTTCCATCTGGGTTGTTTGGGGATGTCAGGAAAATGATCTTTGGCTTGTGCTCAGCGACAGCGCGTTTCACACCTTCTACATCAATTCTAAATCCATCTACTCGAGGAATTGTAACCACATCTGCTGCGTTTACTGCCGCATCAAATTTATACATGGTGAATGTCGGTGGACAGTCCACAATTTTGTCTCCAGGCTCCAACACACATCTCATCAACAAATCAATCAGTTCGTCAGCACCACAGCCAACCTGCATTAATTGAAAGGGTACATGAGTGGATTGATCTCACCGACTACTATTCAATCCATACATACCAGGAGATTCTCTGCTGGAACACCAGTCCAGTCACTGAGAGCCTTTCGAAGTGTTCTTGACTCAGGATCAGGATATATATTTGGGAATTTCATGGATCCGAGAGCATCAAGAACTTCAGGAGGGGGCCCATATGGGTTCTCATTCGCATCTAGCTTCACAATGTCTTCTGGTCGTCTCCCCAGTTTTGCAGAGATGATTTCGAAGGGTTCAATGGGAGTGTATGCAGAGAGCTGCTTCAAATGTTCCCTGATCCATGTTGACCCAGAATTCAGATCAATCTTGTTATCTTGCATCTGCGCTCTGTTACTCGTATTTCTTTTTCGAGACGACCTCTGAGGTCGACATGTGCAGAATGCGCCGTTACCACGAAACTGAACAAAACGTCCTTGCATTGTCTCTAATATTACAGTGGGTTTATATTTTTCATGAAATTTGCAAGGGAAATGCATTCTTTATGATCTTTGGTATCGTAGGCGACTTGAAGTCTGGTAATGAGTTCTCCTGATTTCTTGTCCAAATACTGCCTGCAAGAGGCAAGTTTGGATTCATCCTTCATGTCTTGGTATAATCTCTCCATTCCTTTCAGGGTTGTTACGAGCGACATAAGATCCTTGACGGATTTTAATAAAGTCGCCGAGGATTCAAACATTTGCAGTGCTCCAGGATGATCATTGCGTTCTTGCTGCACTGGTGCCAAGCAGTTGAGGACTTGACCGACGAACTGTCCACTTCCTACCATTCCATGAGCTTGTTTCAAGGATTTTGTTAATAAGAGACGGGCTCCCGTAGAATCGCCTTGGCGATATAGGATTAGGCCATTGATCATTTGAGCAATTGATCTCTCATGGCTTGGAAGTGAATTCAGCCTAGAAGGAGAATCTAATTCATGATCCTTCATTCGCATCGATGCGGTAGGCAATCCATTGCTTTCATGGAGATCAGTCAAGGCAGCACAGAGGACAGCCATGGTGCGCAAAGGTTTGGGTCCACTCTGGATAACGCTTTCAAATAGGGACAAGGCTGTCTCATACTCCTTTGTACTGTGAAAGTATTGCCCCAGTAAGAGAGAAAATGACCCCACATGCTGATGAAGTGATTCTGAGTGCTGTTTGAAAAGCGCTCCAGCCTGTAGACATGCTTTCGCAGCGGCCTGAAAATCACATATGACCAGAGATGCCAAACACCTGTATTCGTATGCTAATAATTGTAACTGAATCACAGGCTTTTGGATGGTTTGCTGATGAATTCCATACGAATTATCCCTATTTGTGAGGCCTACTTCGTCTGCTAAACTTGTGAGGTTCTCCTCAATCTGACCGAGATGCACTGCAGCATCGCCACTGCGACCTGAGATTCGCAAGAGAGAAGCTTGCAACATCTCACCCAAAACACTCGCACAGGAATTATCTAACGGAGGCTGCAAATCACAGATTCCTAATCCATCTAAATGAGAGCATTCCTCTTTCATCTTGTCAATTTTCTCCATCGACTTGAAAAATTGCTCGAATGCTGGATATGATCCCCCAGATGCAAGTTGTCCAGCTCGACCACTTAACTGCGCGTTCAGCGCATATAAAAGGTAGTAATGCGCTCGCAGACTTTCTAAAGCAATCTTCATGGGGGATGTGTTCTTTTTGAATGCATTACCTAGTTCAGTTGCAGTCTCTGTCAGTCTCTTATCAGCTGCATCAGGATCACCCTGCTTCATGCTAATCACTGCATGGCTCAAAGACAGTACAGTTTTTTCCTCATAGCTGAGAAAATTTCGGAGCGAATCTAACTTTTCCAAAGCATTCAAAGATGCTTTTGATGCATCCTCGTTATCCCCATCTTCATAGGAACCCTTGTCAATCTCTCGTGCATGGGCCTTGAGAATTTGAAACCACATGTGAGCTCTCCATCTCTTAAGAATCCTCGAGCTATTCTTGTCCAATCTGCTCGTATCTTCCTTTTCAGTCAATTCCACCGCACGACTGAATATATCAATCGCTTCTTCCACGTTGCCTTCGATTAAATGGCACTGAGCCAGCAGACTGAACACCTGAAGTTTCAGAGTGGTGTTACCCCGAGTGTTACGAATCTCTCTCTCCTGCATAGTTACATTAATTCCACACATAATTGCAATTAAAGTTTAATACATTCGTAACGCGATTGCCGTACCGCCTGAAGAAGCCTATCTCTCGCAAACTCCAGGTTATCAAAATGGTCTAGGACCAAACTCGCAAGGTTGACGCAAGCGGTCGCTCTATCCACGGGAATAACATCTAATGCATCCCGTATAGCTTCTAAACATTTAACAGCTTCTTCAAAGGCTCTCTGCTCCACGAACTGTTCCGCTAGGGTGAATAGTATTTCAATTTTACGTTGCCTTTCTTTTGTCGGGGGATAGCTCATTCTACATTTGTTTCTGATCTCCCCCGTTTAAATGACTTGGAAAATTTAAAATCAAAATTAATATGTATCAGGAGTTCGGCCTTCTTCTGACAACCTGACTTGCACAGTGCACGGCTCCATACATGGAGGTGATTGGAGAAAAGTCAATGCACTGCACATCTCCCGTAAAATGAGGAGAGCGAACAATCTTTCTGGCCATCTCAGGATGCACTGAAATTATTCTTTGATTCCCAAGGTTCAGGATGTTGCAGGCGTACTCGAGCTGATGCTGTGGTTCAACAGGGATGATGTTGAAGGAGTTGTCCAGGAGGTACTGGCTGAACTCAACATTCTCTCTAGCGAGTTTGTATTCTCCTGGGGCGACATATACATATTCATCCACCAATCGACGGGTTGGAGAGGATTCTCCCATCATCTCTTCCAGCATGATGCATGTGTTGGAGGACAAGAGACCAAATACACAGTCCAGATGCATGCGATCCTGGTGCTGCTCAAATTCATCCTTAACAATTGCCACTCTCTTGTACCCGAGCCAGTCTTTCTTCATAAGCTGGTGACACGCTTCAATATTTGATCTGAGACCGATGCCAATGAAAGCTAAATTCTTGGTGCATGGGACAAAATCACCACCTTCTAGAAAACCTGGGTCATCAATGTATCCCAGAACATCCAGTCCCAATTTCTGGAAGCAAAATGCCATGAGTGAAACTTCTAAATTTCTCTGAGGAGATCGAAGGCGTCCCATGACGATACCTCTTGCCGTGGTAATCTGTTGGTCTCGTGTGTATACCAAGTTTGAGAGCGGTTTGAAAGAGTAGGTTGCTGTGAGACCGGTATCTCTGTACGACGGTGCCAGGTGCACAGTTGGATTAATGAGAATGGTGTCAATCAACTGCGGCACAGACATATGCTCCAATACCTTCAGCTTGTAATCCTCGCTCAGGTAATACCGATCTTCGGCCTCCAGATCCTCCTCAGTGTGCCCTTCTGTCATTGCATATGTCAAAGCTTGTGTGGCAAAATTCTCCAACTCGACTCGCGCTCCCACGTGTTCCTCTGTTCCATACGCTAAGATCTCTCTCACTGTCAGCACTCGAACATTGTTATCCCTCATGATTTTCCTAAATTCGGCATGCGCAGTTTTTGCTGCCTCCAAATTGACTGGCTTTTCATAGAGAGATGCCCTCGGGTGAAGGCCCCCCATTTGCAATGAGGTGCCCTCAGGCTCGCATACAATCACAATCTCAGCTATATCATTCTCTCCGTCCTGAACCGCCTTGATCTTTGCGCCTTTCGCGTCAAGGGCGAGTAGGCTCTTTGCCCTTGCAGGCCTGCCCTCCTTATACTGTTCATCATCGTAGTCCCCAAAGGATGATTGCGAATTCGTAAACTTGCCCGATACATGACAATTCAAAACAGGGGCAACCGCACAAAGATCCTTAAAGCTCTCGCTTAGGGGCATTGCCATATCATGCTGATGGGCACTCGTCCTAACCGCAGTGGTCTCCTGGAAGCCCATATCAGCGTTAGATCGACGGTTCTTTGGAGGAATAGGTATCATATTAATATTCCGGGTTGATTTTGTGATAATGTGCGATGCACATTAGCCCTAGTGCGACAAAAGGCGACTGCAGAGGACGCGGCATCTGTAATGCCGTCGATAGCTCTCCAGTAGCCCAAGGAGGGTCGTGGATCCCTTCCATGTATGCACGGAGCCTGACGTTCTCCTTGGTATCATCGGATGCCTTTCTTGTATCTCATCCCGAGGGAACGTGTTGATTTTGGGAAAAAAATTTGTCGACTGTTGGGGCCGAATCGAGAATCGAACTCGAGACCTCTTGCACGTTTGAGTTGCCGGCTCATCACCAGCAATGCAAACCCAAAGCAAGCATCATACCACTAGACCATACGGCCAGATCGATGCAAGATTGATTTATTACTTGTATAGTAACTTGTAATTTTCACCAGCAGCCCTCTGTACATGCCAATATTTGGCAATTGACAGCCAAAAATAAATATCAAAATGAAATAAATACATTTGAGGCTCAGAAGCCGGGACAGAAGCGGTCATCACAATGGGCGCAAAGGTTGCTTCTTCCACCACCTATGCTGTCGCGTACGCAACGTCCAAGCACAAAGAAACCAGTAGGAAGGGTCATTATATGTACATATATCATGTTTACTGATTTGGGCTTGATAAAAGTGTTTGGCATGTCGAGTATGGATTGTTTGACGCGGTGATCGGAAACTGTGATTGATGACAGCAGGACCCCTGCATCGCGCCATGGTATTCCCAATGGCCCTTCAGAGCTCTCCTCCGATGGGATCGAACTGTTGTTTGGGGAGACCTTGCTGGAGATTACAAGTTTCTGAGTCAAAGTTTCTGTGGGTTTCCAACCCGGTGTAGTTAGAAATGGTTCTTATTTTATCTGTAGAACAATACTCATAGTTATGTCAAAGAAAGATAGTGTCCCAGTGTCCCTGTCGGATGTTGCGACCTTCATCCTCGAAAACGGACACTTGAACATCGCGTCAGACGATGACAACTTGCAGGCTCTGTACTCCTTGTGTCGTCTTGGTATGGTTTCTGAAGAGGCTATAAAAGCGTATTGTGAAACTCACAGTGGTGAGAAAACTCTGACGTTTGCCTCGGAAGCACCTCGCGTGCCGGAGCAACGAGCCATTGCCTCCAAGCTGGGGTTCAAGCGCGTGTCGAAGATGAAGCAAGCAGAACTTCAGAGCCTCTTGGAGCCATACATGTCTATCTTACAGTACTTTCCTATTGAAATGGCTCGAAGAGTCAAAGGCATTATGGATAGAAAGGAGGCATCCAAGCGCTTGGAGAAGTTGGTGCAAGAACACACGTCAGAACCTGCAGCGAATCTGACGGGGTGGGTGAGAAAGGACAACTTCTTGGATATTTTGGCAGTTGATTCAGAAAAATATATCTCTCTGTATGATTGCAAGCGAATCTTCCAGCTGGGTCCTGATGAGCTGAAGGATATCCCAACGCTTCCCCAATCTGTGACAAGAATGCGTCACACAGGATGGGGTTACCTCACTTTATCCACGGGGTACCGACTGTGGTCGGTGGTAGAGAGGGCTATGGTTCTTAGAGGGGGAATAGAAGGGGTATATCACGCACAAGAGAAGCTTGAGAATGCGAAGCAAAGGAGGAGGGATCGAAATAGAGAAAATAGGGACCTTAGGTTCAATCTGCTGAAAAAAGTTCTAGCTAAGAAGGGTGTCGATCAAATACCCACAAATTATCGTGTTTGTCGGGAGTATTTGCTGAAGAGAAGTCGCCCAACAAAGGAGGAAGTATTAGAGACTGCCAGAATATTCCAAGAGGATGAGTTTTTCCAAAAGCACACGTCATTAGGCAGGCGAGAAGGAGTCAGAAATACGATAATTTTTCGGAAAGATGATGCCCTCAGGTTATGGGTCGAGGAAAATCGGGATAATCTGGAGGAAGCTATGGTGGCATGCTCGCTGCCATCCTCTCTCAAAAGTAAAGTGATGGAGATGCATTCCTCGAGGTCATCACCTTGAATGATGGATTTCCTCTGTTTTTTATGTTTTACCATCCAAAAAATCTTCTTTATTTTATGCTTTGAAAGATCTCAATGTATCATTCATTAATGCACTCGAATTGCTGGACCACTGCTTATCATTACCACCCACCACAAACAGGTACACGAGGTCATCCTTGACTGTAACCGCAGCACCAAAATGTGTTCCTGTTTTGGCATATGGGGCGTATATTTCGTACACAAAGTACTCTCGTCCATCCTTGAAATTCTCTGTTGTTATCTTGGTCACATCATCGTCCACACTGTCGAGGTAATTCCCTGTCACAAAGGCCCCCACACTCTCGATGACACCCTCTGGCTTCCCAAGATCCTTCACAGTGGCATTTGATTTATTCACCAATCTATAAATAGGAGATACCACAAGCTGACAGAATCCATCCGTCTTAGACTCCCATATCGTTTCAACCCAAGGTTCATCACATTTAGGCATGCAGAAATTCCCGCTCAAAATATTCAGAATTGTTCCCTCTGACCAGGTCGCTGGAATCTCAAAACTGTACAGATCAGGGTTGGGTTGAATCACTCCAGCCCTGATCGCAGGAGTGGATCTACTATCCGGAGAATACACCACAAATCCATCCTTTGCAGCGGAAGGCTTGCAGAAATCGCCAGCCACGCGTGATGATTGGCCCTTGGCCTGAGCCTCTTGTTTCACACCGCCGAAAGACCAGAAAAGCGATAGGCCCCCAAACAAGAGTGCATCCCTTCTTGATGAGGGTATCAAGTCTGTTACTGATCGTGTATCATCGGTCGCATTGCATTTTACCGCTCTCGCAGCAGCAAAGCGATTCGAAAGAACTCGTGCTCGACACTGATGTCTGACCGTTTCTGCACCACACTGCCCCTGAGAATATATACTCTTCCTTAACAGCATTGTCATCTCGATCTTGATACCTTGGTCGTTCGATTTAACAAAATGTGACTGTCGTTTGGTGGTGGTGGGACGAGAGATTTTAAGTGATCTCCAAATACTTTCCTATTGTTTTCAATGTTTGACCGGGAACACGTGACTGGCTGGGCCTTGCTCCATCCCCCGCTGCGGAATTCATCAGGCCATTAAAATGGTCGATCAATCTCCGATCCATTTGTATAATATACTCAAATTATTAACAATGAGCACTTTGATCCGGCAATATTGGAAGAATGGCCGGGGATTCGTCCTTGGGCTTGCCGTTGGTGTTAGTGGGTCAGCTGCCTTTGTGTTTCAGAAAAAATACCTGATGGGACCTCCACCTTCCCATAAAGCGCTGCGATATGGCAGCCCAGAAACATCAAAGCTTCGGTATTTTACAAATTTTGTTTGTGAGGTCGATTATTCTTCAAAAAATCCCATCTGGGTGGCAGAACATATTCCTTGTCAGAATATAGAAAGCAAGGCGAGTAGGAAGGGAGTTCATTACAAAGAAGATGAGAATATCGACGAACGGTTTCGTGCTTTATTGTCTCAATATAGAGGATCAGGGTATGATAGAGGACACATGTCTCCAGCAGCGAACAACAAGTCTGATGCAATTGCAATGAAGGAATCGTTCTACTTGTCAAATTGTTGTCCTCAGGTCGGGAAGGGGTTCAATCAGGATTACTGGGCTCGCTTTGAGAGATTTATACTTGAAATGAGGCCGCAGTGTGAGAATATTTATGTCGTCACCGGGCCATTGTATCTTCCCAAGAAAACATCTGAGAAGGAGGAAGGAGTCCGCCCGCTGGGAGCTTCATGGCATGTAGAGTATGGTCTGTTGGAGTCTCCAACCGGGAACTTGTTGGCCATCCCCACTCACTTCTACAAAGTTATTCTAGCAGAATTGAAAAATGATTCTCTTGGAGGGCAAAGTAGGCATGCTCTGGGGGCCTTTGTCATGCCAAATGCTCAGATACATCCAAAGACCCCCCTAGAATCATTTTCTGTGCCAGTGGCGCAGTTGGAGCAGGCAGCAGGGATCAAATTTTTCCCAAAATTCTTTGATAATATAAATAGAAGCGGTAAAACCCCACTTCTCGAAGGACGAGTGAGGCCTGATGAAGAAAAAAAGTATCTGCATATCTGTGATGTCACTCAGGGATGTGCCATACCAAAGGAAGACTTCTGGAAAAAATGATGATCGTTATCCTTATTTATTTATTTATTTATTACTCTTTTTAGAACTAGAGAGAAACAATTTAAGTCTTCTATCGACGGATTTCACGTCCTCTTCTTTCATCACAGGATTCCCAGTGACAGTTCGATCAATGGCATCCAGAATATTTGACAAAATGGCTTCAGTTTGCACGTTCTCTTCCTTCACATCCGACACACGTCCGAATTCAGCAAAATTTGCTGCTTTTTGAACGATCGAATCCGCGCTGTCTGCATCCTCAGCACCACCTGTTGGAGAATCTGATGATGTCACAGCTGAAATCAGGGATTTCAAGGCCAATTGCCCAGGAGTGAACAAGACGAGCGCATCACTCATAAGAATATTATTTTCTAAAAATACCTTGCCCTTCTTCAGAACATTTTTCTTCCAGGCTTCGTCCGCATCAGAGTACAATGCCTCTATCAAACCCCATAGTGCCTTGTGAGGAGGATGCACTTGCAGATCAAAACCAAGACCTTGCAGAACGGTAATCTCAAACTTTAAAATAATCTCCTCAGGCATCCCACCCTGACGATGAATATATTCTGCTGACACATAACAGTCCTCTATTTTGGATGCAAGATACAAGCAAGTCAGAACAATGTACTGCGGATCAAACTCTAAACAACTCCTATGAACATAAAATCTCAGAAAATAGGTGCATGCGGTACAAACAACATTATCCGGTGACCCTATAGTATTCGAAAGCTCTATCAATTTCAATGCATAGTAGTGGATGAGTCTCTTTTCCTCATCCAAAGAAATTGCATCACAACTCTCAGCAGTGTCCTTTTTCTTGCTTTTTAATGCTGCCTCCCTGGACCGTTCTCTCAAACCATCCTGTACCACCACAGATTTCCATACATTCTTAGTAAAGAATATTAACGCATGGGATGTGATATCACGAGACGTACAAGTTCCTCCTGATTTTTGAACAACCATCTCTGTCGTTGGGACGACGTTGGATAATCCATGATGATTGACCTATTCTTGATGGCATGTAAATTTCATAGCAGATCTTTGAAATGGATCTAGATGTACATGCGTGCTATCTGAACTCATAAAGAGGAATGGTGAACAGGCGATCTGTGCCGTTGTCAAGTCAGCAGATATAAGCACTTTTCTCCCTCTACAGTGCATTATATTTCACGATTATTATATATTATTAAACTATATCTAAATATACATCGATTGAGGTATATATGAG